CAATGTTTGTCAACACAAAATGACAATGTATGCAAAAAGGCAAAAAAAAAAAAACAAAAAAAAACCCAAAACAGTCTAAAAAGACAAAACAAGCATCGGAACCAGACTCAGATATGACATATTGGATTATCAGACAGTATTTAAAGTAATTATGATTAATATGGTAAAGGTTGTAATAGAAAAAGTGGAAAACCTGCAAGAATAAATGGGTAATGTAAGCAGAGAGATGAAAAAATCAAAAAGAAATTAAAAAAAACCCCACACAATAACAGAAATAAAGAATGCCTCTGATGGGCTCATCAGAAGATTAAAGAAATAATCAGTGAACCTAAAGATATGAAGATGAATCAATAGAAATTCTCCATTGAAAAGCAACAAGCAAACAAACTGAAAAAAGTACAGAACATACAATAACTATAGGCCAGTATCAAAAGGTGTAATATATATGTAATTCAAATAAAAAAGGATAAGAAAGAGAATGTAACAGAGGAATATTGAAGGATTAGTGGCCAAGAACTTTCCAAAATTAATTACAGAAAGCAAACCAGAAATCTAGAAACAGAGAACAAATATCAAGTGATTCAAGACAACCAACCAACCAACCAACACCTCCATATTCAAACTATTAAAAACTGAATAGAAAAACTCTCAGGAAGCCAGAGAAATCCTAGAATTCTGTATTCAGTGACAATTATCCTTAAAAAGTGAGAAGAGAATATCTTTATTGAAAATCAAAAATTGAAGGAATTCATTGTCAGTAAATCCACTTTAAAAGAAATAAAAGAAATTCTTTAGATAGCTGTAAAATGATGTAGGCCAGAAACTGGTATCTTAATAAAAGAAAAAGTGCAGAAGGTATAAATGAATTAAAAAAATATATGTGTACTCAGGTATGGAAGCTCATTGGCTGGTAGACTGCAGTTGAGGGCTGGAACAGATATCTGGCCACTTTCTACCATTTTGTCAGTATCTCTGGACTTGTCTCTTAGGCTGGTCAGTTTCTCTAGAGAGGAAGCCTCTATCTTTTTACCCGAAGGTACACCCAGTTGTAAGATGAATAGAGGGGAGAACAGGGTTGGTTTGGGAAAGTTCTCACTGTCCGAAATACAGATTTTCATTTTTTTCCTTCCAGTTTTTATTACATCTCACCTGGTATGGGTAGGAATGATTTCTGGTGGTTCCCAATCGGTCTGAATTCTGGAGAAAATGCGCTGGCATTAGTTGCACTGGCTTAGTTTTATCTTGAGACTGCAGATTAATTAGTTTGGAAAAGGGAACGGTAAAAAGGGAAGAGGAAGATCAGTCTACAGTTTTCCTTCAGTCCTACTCCATCATGTGTTCCCCCAGAAGACATCGGCCAAACTATTTCCTAATGGAAGTAAGGATTTAAACTGCCACCTGAGTAATTTGAGACACGATCAATTACTAAACATGTCTTGAGTATTCGCTGTGTGCTCAGCACTCCGCCAAGTCCTGTGAGCGATGCCAGAGAAAGCCAAGTTACTGTTTGGTTTCTCTCTAGGAAATTCCAGTGTGGGCAGGTGAACTAGAATTAAATGGCATATAGGAGAGGTACCGAGGCAGCGTAGGCTAAATGTTGGGTACGCAGAACATTTAATAAGTCCTGAGAATTCAGAGAAGGGAAATCGTTTTGGTTTGGGTAAGGCATAAGCAACGCTAGAAAGAGCAGCATGACTGTCACCGGTACAGAGCAAAGGAGCATCAGTGAGACTTGGTCAGTAAAATGTGGTCTAGGGAGTTGTTCCAATTGCTATCGCTGCCTAACAACTCCAAATTTAGAGGCTTAAAACAATAATGATCAATTTATTATGATTTCTCCTATAGGTTAGTTTGGGCTTCCTCAGAGGTAGACATTTGGAGAGGGCCATTGTCTCGTGTTTACTTCCTGGGGTTCCCTGGGAAGTAGACTCTTGAGATGGAAGGAGCATCTGGAACAGTTATTAGGGAATGATATTGGACTCACTATCTGTGAAAGGGAGGAGAAGGAAGCAGGATTTAGCAGTGAGAGAAACTGATGACGACGCAGGCCCCTGGGGGCAGCTCTGCAGCTGGAATGAATGACCCTTCAGAGTTCCTCTAAGTCTGGGCAAAGGGCTAGCTGGGCCTTTATACCTCTGCATTGATGGAGGTATAACCGTGGGCAATTTTCTTTGGCCAAAGTCACCCCTTCAAGGGCTCATAGCTGAGGGGCCATCGTCCAGCAGTACTCCAAGCCCTGGGGGATTGAGTCCTTCATTCCTGCAGGAAAATCTGGATAGTGCATCACAGTGCCTTGCAGAGTCCTAACAGGGTATGTGGCTTTCAGTAGAGGCCCCTCCTGTACCGACCTGGCACTGAGCAAGGAGAGGGGACAAATACTCCAACCTCACTCTCCTCCAGACTCCCGATCTCCTGCCAGCACCCTACCCCACAACGGAACAAACCCAGGAAGTCATAGGACTCGGGGTTTTGAGTCACAGAGTAGAGAAGGTTGAAGAGTGGATCTGGAAGGACAACAGAAGATAATCGGCAGCAGAAGATGAGTTTAGTTTTTGAACATTAAAGACATGTTGAGTTAAATAACATCCTGATGAAGGCTGCTTATTGGTGGATTGGAGGCGTGTTCTGAACCACCTCTTACTCATTCTGCTCCTTGCTCCTTTGCTTTCATCTACCTCCTGATTACTTAACCTCATTCTTCATTCTACCATTTGAAACTCGCCTCATTACTTCGGCTTAAAACATGTTCTAGTTCATGAGTCTGGCTTTCCTCCTGACTACATTTCATTCCTCCGTCCTTCGTTTAGTTCCATACACCCATCTACTAACCTGAGAATATTCTTCATCCAGCCTCATCCCAGGCACTTTTCTGTTCACCAGTCCTATGGGGAATCTTTCCTCCCCCGGCATCTTATTTATCCTGGCTTATTGATGAAGACGGGAAAGAAGTAAGTTTCACGGTGCTGAGGTAATGCAGAAGAGAGCTGATATGAGGGTGGGGACATGGGTATGGGGGGAAGGCCCACTTTGGTGGATCCCCGTCTATGCTTACTGTCATGTACTTTCTGAAGCTACTAGCCAATGGTAAAATGAATTCATGGCCTTCCCTCACAGTCATTATTTCTAGCATAGTCTCCTGTTCCTGTCTAATGTGTTGATAGAAAAGCCCTACCCTTTAACCCCAAGAATCATCTCTTCCTTGAAACTCTTTGTCTTCCATACATTATCCCCACCCCCACCTCCCCGCCCAGTTCACCTCCTTTTCTATCTGCTCCTCACTTTGACTGTTTTGGTAGACAGTCCCTCTCTTCTCTTTCCCCACTTAACCATGTTTTCCTCTGCTTTGCCTGACAGTCTCCTTGTCTGGACGTCTTATTTTTTTCTGATGGCCTCAACTATCACTCGTATGAGGATGACTCTAAGTCTGCACGCCTTGCCTCAACTCTCTTTGGGATTCCATTCCTGAGTTCCAGACTCTGCGGTGGCGGTGGGATCAGAACACAGGACTTCTTCCCAAGCTGGTACTAAAATGTGATTTCAGGTTTCTTT